ATGATTTTATGGCAGCAACGACGATTTCATTTCCTCTGCCGCAAGTAAATGTAAAACCGTTGCCTGTTGTACCAGAGGCCAATCTTATCGTCACATATGCGCAAGAAAAATCCGGGTCTCTGTGCTAATGATATCAAAAAAATCAAAATTACAATTAAAAACAACTTCCCTATTTAAAATTAAAGGCGAATGCAAAATTCAAAGTACAATTTAAGAACAAAAAATTGATGTAATAAACATTATTTTTGTTATTAAAATTAAACTTAGCCGTCTTAAAATACATTAAATAAATCAGTACTTCTTACTTTTATTAGATTATATATAAATGGATATTAAAATTATATTTCTTTGTTAATCAAAAAAGATATGCCTACGTTTTTAATTGCGCGTAGGTTCATTTTTTCCCTAGTTAATTAATTAATTCACTGACTGTATGTAAAATATAATGTATTCTTTATATTTTTTGCTTTTATTATCCTCATAAGGCAGCTAAATTAAAAATAAAGGCGGTGGTTCCGTCATGTGATATAAAGTTCACTTTTTCGGTGTTTGTCTATGTTTACTTATAATTTATAATGAAGTGACCAATTAAAAACGTATTTAGAACAATTAGCAATTTATTTCTAAATAAAAATAGTAAGCAAAACTTCTTGTCATTGTCATAATACTGCGTACTCTTAAAAAATACAAGAAGTAGAGGTCATCTTACCATAGCATCTGACCCATGCAGACCCAAAGATGTTGGGAATCGTACATCCTTAACGTCCAGCGAAACAATTTTCAGATTTTCTATCGTTTCATAATAATAATGGGTAGCCATTTTCACAAACCAACTTTTTATTGTGTATTTTTTGAACAATTCTTTTTCACACACGATCACATGAATTCGTAAGTAAGTTTAACGCTCGTGTGAAATAATCTTATCGCAATATAGAACAGGTATTTAGTTAAAAGTCTCCGTCCTCTTCTCTCTCATACCCCTACCACAATAGCGTTCTCTTTTACTGAGTCTGAGACTCATAAAAAAAAAGAAAAATAACGTTTAAATACAATAATACAGACTTAATCGCAAGATAAAAAAAAATCAAATGTGCGCTTTTTTTGTAATGCTTGAATTTTCATGGGAGAAATTTACAACAGTAATTCGACCGCTATTTTGCGAAGTGTATTGATTTTACTGTGTTTGAAGATGCGTACCTACGCAGAAGTGAAAGTGAATTTAATTTATTGTAATCAGTCTCGCTTAATTCTTATTGACTTCCATGTACATCACATCCAATAATAAATTTATCAAGTGTTTTTACTACTTACAATCAACTGAATAAATATATATTAAATAATTAAACTTACTTTATTATATGTCAGGCTACCCACAAAAAGTTTGGTACTAATAAATGTATAGTTTGTCTAACAATAGGTACAGTGGCAGTCGAATAGTCGCAAAAAAACAATTTAAACAATCATAGGATGATATAATGTGTAGGAATTATCATTCAATGGATTTTGTTACATGCACAGATTCTCGGCGGACAATAAACAATTTTGGAGTAGAGGGGGGTATTGTTTATGTTGTTCGCTACATAAAACACGTTATTTACAGAATTTTATATTGGCTACGCGCTTGTTTGTATTAACCAGATAACTAGTTTACGACGTTAGTTCAAATTTAACTCTGACAAACAGTTAAAGATACAAAACAGGTGTATGAGTATGAAGTAGAATTAATTTGTCGTGTCTTACAATTTTGGTAGGTGCATTAGAGGGTGTTTTGGAAAGTTATTAAGAAATGGGCAAGATAGGGTAGTAGGATGCCTTTTCAGACATAGAAGACTAGTTAAAGAGTTATTAGAAGCAGAAACAGGTATTAAGGGGGGAGAGAGGTAGATCCAGAGAGATATAGTTCTAGCTTTTGAGGAATGCGAAAAATTGGATATGGAATCTCTGAATTACTAGCTATCTAAAACTTTAATTTTCGGTCCTTATCTACCTCTCTCCATCAACTATTCAATCCTTTGCTAACTTTAGTAAGAATTTCTTATGAAAATAAAATGTAATATTTTCTATTCGTAACTTATTTATAACTTTGAATAATAATTAATTTCCTCATTATATTTATGAAGACTTCAGTTTTTAGGAGATCGGTATTCCATACAGGGTGATAAAGATGTTCCTACGTAAAAAATAAATATTTAAAAAAAGTGTAATCTATGCAATTGAAAATAACATTTATTTTCTATGTTTATTTGCATTTTAGTCGTGTTCACTGTTGCATCATCGTATCTGTAAAAAAAAATCAATTGTAATGGAGACAATTGTTTTTGTTCTTCAAAAATGACCTTACTTTTTCCAGTTTGTCCTGGATATCCATTATCTTCGCATGAATTAATTCGCAGCACCGGAAATAATAAATTATAGTTTGCGAAATTGTATCAAGCACTTCCTTTATGCTGTCTCCGCGGTTATTATTACTCTTCTTTATTAGAAATTGGTTCCCGCTCTTCAAATTTTCTAATTCAGTAAATATTTTTTGCATTAATTCGCATCTACAAATTAATAATTAGTACAGTNTTTATTTAAGCAGAAACTTTATTAATTTCTATGGATTCTTAGGAACTATTTACAATAATTAATATTTATGATTATTCTGTACATACATAAACGTAATTTTTTTCTTATTTCGGTATTTTAATTCTTAAAGTTAATTAACTATTTAACCTCGGATCCTTGAATAATCCTTTGGCAAACATATTCTGCCATTCAGAACCGTTAGGATATTCGTATGCAGCTAAAGACCCTGGTTTGAAAGTGGTGTTATAACCTGGGGCCTAAAAATGGTACAAGTCAAAATTAATCGCATTAAAATTATATATCATAAAATATTTAAGAAGGATCTGCAACTAAAGACATGTTTAAAAAAATATTTGCTGTAAATGTTTACATTTAATTAGCTATTTATGTACGTTAATTACCAATGGTGCCTGATAATGTGCGTTTTTGATAACAACCGGATTAACGAAATGTTCGTGTTGTTGATCAACGTATTCGACCCATCGACCCTCTTTGTCTCCCGAAAGCGCCACATAGTCCCACATCTGCAAGTGCTGTACCATTTCACAAAGCCCGACCCCACCAGCATGGGGACAAACTTTGACTATAAAAAAATGTAGAAAGAAAATTATTTTTAATTTTTCATTATCTCGCTTTTTAAGATCAAGAAGCATACTTTTTATGTTAAATAGATACATATAATCGTAACATACTTCCAAGCTTTTTCGCCATTAAATATACGCTGAGAATTTCGTTAACGCCTCCAATTCTTGCCGAGTCGATTTGGCAGTACTGTATAGCGTTAGATTGTAAAAATTGTTTGAACAGAACCCTGTTGCAACACATTTCCCCCGTTGCGACGCCGATGCCGAGCGGTTTCAATGCATTTGAAATTGCCAAATGGCCCAAAACGTCGTCGGGAGAGGTCGGTTCTTCTATCCAAAGTAACTTAAATTCTGCTAATCTCTTAACCCATTCTATCGCCTGGTTAACGTCCCACACTTGGTTTGCGTCAATGCTCTAAACCAACACATTTTTTTTTTATCCTGGAGTGTTAATTTAAATTTTTCATTTATTATTTAGTGGCACTTACGACAATATTGTCCTGCCCCACAATTTTTCTTACAGTTCTCAATCGTCGGATATCATCTTCAATATTTTGACCTACTTTTACTTTGAAGTGCGTGTAACCCAGAGCTAAATATTCATGGCAAAGTCGGGTTACAGTTTCCTCGGTATATCCCAACCAACCTAAGGACGAGCTTGGTATATATAAATATATATGGTCGTATCAAATTTGAGAAATTTCACCCACCCACTTGTGTTGTGTAGGCCGGATATCCCCCTGTAAGAAGTGTTTGAATTCTCTGTTCTTTTCCTGTTTGTGATTGTCTTAGGATTTCGATGGCTTCTTCTTTAGTAATCACATCGGAAATGTATCGGAAATCGATTACTGAGACCAACTGTTCGGGTGTTAGGTCCGCCAGTAAGCGCCACACTGGTTTTTTAAGCAGTTTAGCCCATAAATCCCAAAGTGCATTAAGTATGGCGGCAGTAGCTAAGTGAGTTACACCTTTTTCGGGACCAAGCTTAATAAAATTGAACATTTTATTAATACCTACTTAATGCTTTCAAATTTAAATAGAAATTAAATAATTTTTAGGGAAAAATATTACTTAGCTCTTTTAAAAACGTAGTTAGTCATTATTTAAACAATTTCTGAATGTTATAGTTTAACATTTTTTGCTCAAAAGTCAAGTATTTATTCCGCAACCTTATTTTTCCTCTTATTAGTTACGCCACTGGTAATACTTTTTATTTTAAATTAAAAACGGCAACTTGTGGTAGACAACCCGCGTGGCATATAAGTTATTATATTGCATATAGTATGAGTAAATTTTGCTAATTAAAAGCAATTATAAAGGATACTTACCCATCTCAACTGGGTTTCGTTCGTCAATGACCTAGAAAATGCAGCAAAATCTTTGTAAATATCAACAACTGTGGCCCCAACAACGAGAAATGACAATGATTTTATGGCAGCAACGACGATTTCATTTCCTCTGCCGCAAGTAAATGTAAAACCGTTGCCTGTTGTACCAGAGGCCAATCTTATCGTCACATATGCGCAAGAAAAATCCGGGTCTCTGTGCTAATGATATCAAAAAAATCAAAATTACAATTAAAAACAACTTCCCTATTTAAAATTAAAGGCGAATGCAAAATTCAAAGTACAATTTAAGAACAAAAAATTGATGTAATAAACATTATTTTTGTTATTAAAATTAAACTTAGCCGTCTTAAAATACATTAAATAAATCAGTACTTCTTAGTACACAAAAAGGGGTTTTCAAGACTCCCGGGCCTATTGTTTGCCTAGCCGCAAGAGGGCACGCCGTCGCTGTGGTGTACCACAAGGGACCAGTCAGGCAAATGGATATGTGCTTGGGACTTATATTGGTGGACTTTTCAGGTAAATTAGGAAACATTGAAAAGAAAATGCCAAACCCAGTGGTATATTAACTTTATTTACAACGTTCTGCTTTAGGTCTGATACCTTCAAGTAAGCAGCTAGACTGTCCCATAAGTCCGGAGTCAACTTTGCAATGGTTGGGACTGACTGACTTTGGAAATCCTGCAATACAAGATTCGATGGGGATTCTGTCGTTGTATGTGATGAATTCTAACATCTGGGTTCCCTTCTGTGATACTACTAAACAAGTACTGATTAATCTTACACGATTATATCAATTTTGTTAAGAACCGTCTTTGCAGTTAGTCAATTTTTTAATAAAATTCTGCTTTCTGTTGCAGGTGACGAATGCTTCTGATGGATTCTTCATTACTGCTGTTTTTGAATCAAACCAGAGTGTAAGGGGAGTCCGCTGCAAGGGCAGTATGTATCCCGGGTTCATACCACGTCCCACTCAAAGTGAAATACATCTTGAGGCTGCCTTTGCTGAAATGGATACCGAAAAAGCTCAACTGGAAGCAAATTTGTTTACTTGGTCGTCTCTAAACGTGGAAAATGTGGAAAGAAAGTATAAAGAAAATGCCATGAAATTATTTTCGGTAATAGTATAAAAGAAAATTTTTAACTCTTGAACCCTCAAAATGACACCTAGGCTACAATTTAAAACTAAAAAAATGTTGTAGTTATTTGTTATTTCATATTATTAAAAATTTCAGCTTGCCTGTCAAAATAATTTGGATCTAAGGGCATTCGAATTGATGACAATGTTAAACAATCCTGTTTTGGTGACATTGGCCATGAAATATGCTACTAATGCAGATAAGAAAAGACTTGCTGAGAAATTACTATCCCTTGCCTCTACATTGAGACAGAGCAGTGCAGAAACTCCAGCTACAAACCAAAATGTAAAAAAAATATTTTTTTTTTGTATGAACTTTTGTATG